CGACAGCATTCGCGGGAAGGTGAAAACGAAATTCGCTCAATGTTTATACACGCTAAAAAAGTCGCCTTTAACGCGAAAGAACCCCTGGACCGTGTTCGCAGAGGGAAACAACATCCTCAATTTGCAATAGGCAAACCCGTGATCAGTGAGCTGTTTGAACGGCTCTCCAGAACCCCTAACACTATAAGCGTCTGATTAGTTTGTTTTCTTCATAACTTCTCTGTGTCATTTTACAAACTTATGTATCAACAACAGAAATGTGTTATATAAGCATCCCAAATCACATCATTTATTCACGGTTCTAAAAAAATATCATGAAATGTTAGCCAACATCTGTAATGGTTTTATATCATGAAATGTTAGCCAACATCTGTAATGGTTTTATACGGAGAAGAATTATAATGATGATGCTTATTATATAGATGTTGCTTTTCACCTTCATAACCATGATATCAGAAACATATCAGATATTTGTAATATCAGATTTTAAGTTTCTTTTTGTAACATAATTTCTAAATGATATGAAAAAATAAAAGTAGTCTCTGAATATATATAATTTTGATAGTAACAAACAAGCCCATTTATATTGAAAAGGAGCCCCAGGGAGACCAGGGGCCCGTTTCACAACGCTCTCGTAAGCCTAAGATCTCGTAGTCTCTTTTTCTCGTAGCATTAGTACCTCATATGTTACAGCATAGGAGGCACGAATGCTACGAGAAAAGTTACGAGATCATAGGCTTACGAGAGCTTTGTGAAACGGGGCCCAGAGATTCAGAACCTGAACCTGAGGAAATCTAGACTTGCTTTATTTAGGGCTTTAGCACTGCAGAGAGGGCTTGGCAGTAGGGAAATATAATGTGGTTCAGGGACTGTGAGACAGACTATATCCTTAGGGTTTCGAAGTTTACCATCACTATCATCATGGCGAGTGCACAACTCAAGTACAAATATCTTCCCACTTGTAGAGGTGGCAGATATCTCTGTGTTAGAAATTATATGTATCGTATTAGTTAGCGAAAAGCAATGATGTTGATTATTGGAGCCCAACCGAATATTTTCGAACTGATTCAATTCCTGATGAAGGAACATAAGACAACAGAAATGCATTTGGTTCAATACACCGCCGGACAACGCCTCCCTCCTAAAAAGAAGAAGTATCAAGACCTTCAGCGAAAACTGGATGACTTGAAGACCAGACTTCTTTTTTTCCTAGCAAAAATTTATTCTTTTTTTTCCGATTCTTTTTTATCCTGATGCATTTTTTCCGATTACCGACTTGACACCGGGCACGTCTCTGTCATCGAGTACGCTGAAAGGGCATCGTACGCTCTGAAACTTGCTTAAGGACTGTTTCATATGTGAAGATACGTCACAACATGTGAATAAATGTGTTATTGTTTGCCAGTAAAAAGGCACAATTTGTCATGTTCCATTTAATAAAATATCTAAATGAACTAGTTGTTTTGTTGTCGACATCGCCTGTTCATGCATGGAAGGGACTTGAACAAACATTCGCTCGGCCGTTGTTTATGTTAATTGGAAAGGCGACAGCATTCGCGGGAAGGTGAAAACGAAATTCGCTCAATGTTTATACACGCTAAAAAAGTCGCCTTTAACGCGAAAGAACCCCTGGACCGTGTTCGCAGAGGGAAACAACATCCTCAATTTGCAATAGGCAAACCCGTGATCAGTGAGCTGTTTGAACGGCTCTCCAGAACCCCTAACACTATAAGCGTCTGATTAGTTTGTTTTCTTCATAACTTCTCTGTGTCATTTTACAAACTTATGTATCAACAACAGAAATGTGTTATATAAGCATCCCAAATCACATCATTTATTCACGGTTCTAAAAAATATCCCCTTTGCTTTTAAGGGGTTCAGAAACGTTTTAGCAACGGTATCATTCGGTTGGAACATTTTGCATAATATTCCATAAATGCTTCTGAAAATGTTATGTTCATCTGTTTGCGATATATCACAAACAAATAATAGTAATAAAATACACCTGCCGTATTGATGAACCTTCAATACGATCGATGTCGGTTCCAATGACACGAGCCAGGTTTACAAGTCTGTTTGCTATAATCGTCTTGAAAATTAAATAATGCACGTTGATACCAGTGAAGACATTCACAAAGATATGCACCATAGCTTTAAATTCATACATTAAAAACCTTTTTGGGATGTGTTTACAAAATCAATGTGCATGCCGCATTCGTGACCAACTCGTGTTATTCCGGGACAAGCCGAATAGCGAGGTTACGGAAAGGGGCGAGTGGTGACGAATGGTGCATGCCGATGAAACGAGGAGCTTCCAATTACACTTCACATATGAGGGCTTCAGGCTCCATTTGATTGGCTGAAACAGTGTCGCGCACGTTTGCAGGGCATTCTGTAGACTAAGGCTTAGTCTCTGAATATATATAATTTTGATAGTAACAAACAAGCCCAATTATATTGAAAAGGAGCCCTAGGGAGACCAGAGATTCAGAACCTGAACCTGAGGAAATCTAGACTTGCTTTATTTTGGGCTTTAGCACTGCAGAGAGGGCTTGGCAGTTTGGGAATTAATGTGGTTCAGGGACAGTGAGACAGACTAGGTATTCTGTAAAACATCATACACAGCTAATGCGAGCACAAGCTGACATGTATTCTCGAAGATCCAATATAGACACATCAACACCACGAGCTGTCGTCAAAAGTCGAAGAAACGGCGCTGAATTTTGATTTGATTAGCACGAGATGTCAACTAAGGCTGACAGTGACTTCTTTTCGGATTCAATTTCCAAATATACCCTTGAGTCTCTTTACACGCTATAACAAGCAAGGCAACTTTATTTAGGTTACTTTTACGATTATAATTACGTGAAAATTAATGAGATGAACAGGTAAGATTTCGTAGCTGTGTAGCCGAAACCAAGACTGACTGACTGAATGAATGAGTTTAGTTTTACGCCGCTTTTAGCAATATTCCAGCAATATCACGGCGGGGGACACCAGATTCCGTAGCTGTGTAATGCCGAAACCAAGACTGACTGACTGACTGATTGAGTTTAGTTTTACGCCGCTTTTAGCAATATTCCAGCAATATCACGGCGGGGGACACCAGAAATGGGCTTAACACATTGTGCCCATGTGGGGAATCGAACCCGAGTCTTCGGCGTGACGAGCCAACGCTTTAACCACTAGGCTACCCCACCGCCCCCCGAAACCAAGACACTATATGTGTACAGTCCGGCTAGCCGAGACAGGCATCATGGGACCCCTCCATTATACCGCGATAGGTAATGTTATCGGTATCGGGATTATGAACGCTTATTGGCATTTGGCACTTTTTTATATATTTTCAGTTGACTGATGTTTTATCTGTTTTATTTACTGGTGAAGTTACACTTACGTCACTTCCGGCAAATATGCAAATGACTTTATAGTTGTCGAAGGATTACTCTTGACGAAGTAAGTTTTGATTCATGCAAGATGCAATGGCGGTAGGGTCATATTAGTTTCAAAATGTTCAGAAGTTACTGCAAAGATGAATACTTTAACATTTCTAAAATTAGCCATGATATTCCACTGAAATATATCACGCACTTTTTCAAAGGCGACGAATTGTTTTTACGTAATTTGCATATGTAATCAACCGAAACCTACCTACCTACCTACCTACCTGCTTTCCCAAGAAACCTGTTTATTCACGACTGTCAAGTAACCACCACGCTTGGTGATTTTACGGGACGCTTTAATCATCCCGCGCCGTGTTCGCGGAGCGCACCTGTCTCGAGTATAAGAGGCGATACACAACGAACACCAACAAAAGACTGTTGAAACTTGGGTGTAATTTGTAGTAGGGGAGACCGGGGTCAATTGTAACACTTTTTACTTAGTTCTTGTAATTCGATATTAGTCGACCGCTCACAAAGTTTATCGGTACTAACTAATACATTGGCATCTTGGCTCTAAAACCTCAGAGTCATTTAAAGTTCACGATCATGTCGTTACAAAGTCATAACGTATCAAATGCAATGACTGCAAGTGTTACAATTGGCCCCGGTCTCCCCTATTTTACTAGTTGCCATTCACCTTAATACTGCCATTGCAACTGGTACTATATAAAATTCTCGTGACGTACACAAACTGTGACAAAACATGTATTCACAAAACAAAAACAAAACTTCGTATCTCCGAACTCCGGACTAACGAACTCACCAGTTAACACTGCACGAAGGATGAAGGGGCCCTCCTTCAGTAACACCGACAAGTCAAAACACTGCTAGCAGCAAAAACGACTTCATCTTTTCGTCCCGGAGTCAGATAATATCGAATATCCCCGTATCACTCGTTTATGTAAGAGGCTGTCACGTGATCGCCCGGGACTCGTGGTCACATGACTGTAACCTTTACAACCGATCGGTGTACACAAATGTTACAGAATTACATATCCTATTTGGTGAGAAGATAACAAGAATGTTTTATATCACTGGATTGAGTATATCATATATTAATATATTAGAAACTTTGTTGAAATCTAAAAAACGCTTACACAGACAAGAAGAAACATTAATTTTGTGGAGTCATTTACGAATGTGGGTCGGCTAGAATGCACATTACCGGGCGCAGCCCTCGCTGCTCGCTACAGATCTACCGCACTGTCTCCAGCGCTGTCTCGCGGTAATTGCTCTGTCTCCCTTCAATTGCATCTTTCGGAGGTCTCTCTCTCTCTCTCTCTCTCTCTCTCTCTCTCTCTCTCTCTCTCTCTCTCTCTCCTCTCTCTCTCTCTCTCTCTCTCTCTCTCTCTCTCTCTCTCTCTCTCTCTCTCTCTCTCTCTCTCTCTCTCTCTCTCTCTCTCTCTCTCTCTCTCTCTCTCTCTCTCTCGTTTATAAGTCTCTGTTCGCTATACAAAATAAGGACACAATGTGCAAGGTCAGTTGCCAACATATGGCTAAAGGCGGCATGAAACTGAACCCACACATTACTACACACCGTGAAAATTACCAACTCACCAGTCGACATTGCAGGAAGCGCGAAGAGATCTCCGACTCATGATGAAGCTCTCAGCTGCGACTACGAGGCACGCCAACGTTACGATTGCGAACGACTTCATCGTTGGACCTCCGGTGTAACAAGTACTCCACATCTGAAGAACAGCCAATTTAGCAGGCAGGCAAGGTCACGTGATTACCTGTGCTGTGACTTGGCGCCTGGGGTTTAGGTCATGTGACTTCTTTGGGTGGGGCCTTCTCTGCCTTATCGTGAGAATGACAAAGAATGTTTCGCGTACATCGTGTGAATGGGTGCTTTACGATATTAGTATATTTCTAAATAAAAACGATGTTGCTTCTTTACATGCCGGTGGCGCAGCAGAGGGCACACACCACTCAAGAATTCTGGGATATCATCCGGGGACTCACGGGAGAAAAACAATAACAAAAGCAACAACCAGTCCACGGAAATTACTCTGGATCAGTGCCCCTTTAAGTTGCATTTAGAAGTTGGTATGAAGAAGAGGAAGACTTTTTATGGATAGACACCTTCTTTATTGCGACGTTTCGGTGTAGTTGTTAACGCCGTTATCACTTGCATGGTGTGTTCGCATCTACGCCGAAACGTCGCATCTATTGCAATAAAGACTTAATCCATAAAAAGGCATTCCTCTTAAGAATGTATGTTGGTTAAAATTTATGCTTGAAAATTCCAGGTCAGTTTCGAACAAAAGTGGCAGAACTTGCTGGTAGAACAGCCAGGTGTGCGAGGTGCAGGTGTGAAATTGAAATTTCACTACATACGCTCGTTTACATGGCTGTTCAACCAGCAAGTGGTCTCCCCTCGTAAAAATATAGCGAAAAGTGACAACAAAAAAATGATCGTTTGTTAAGCAACTTTTTTATTCGGATTTGCAAAATTATGAGACAAATCATCAGAGTTGGTCTGTGGATTTCATATGACTGTGCAAAATTTGGTTTTGTTGTAATTAATTATTAGATTTTGTGTTTGTGAGCAATTCATCGGTCTCAAATGAAACCAAACGAACTGTAACTTTAGGGAGGGGACAGGGACTCGAGGGACCTAAAAGTCTCCCCAGACACGGAATGGCCATTATTATTAATACTTCTTTAAAAACCAAACCTGTATGTTACCATGGTAGGCAGTACGTCATGTCAGCCCTCGTGAATCAGGTCATCGTCAGGTGATTGTCCAGGTCACTCACGCAGTCCCTCAACCATATTATTTTCCCTATGGTCCAACACTGGATCTCGTTCAGCCTAATTATTTGTTTCCCTCAGAGATATATTTTAAAAACTAAGCATTAGTCTAACATTTATCATATTCTGGCCCAAAGGCATTGGCCGTTATTCATACTGACCCAAGCCAGATTATTTGTAATCAGCATTGCCTATACATGCTCGCTGACTTGGTTGACACGTCATCGTATCCCATGCGTAGATCGATGCTCATGGTGTTGATCACTGGAATGTCTGGTCCAGACTCGATTATTTACACTTTTCCGACAACAAACATCCGATTACAGGCATCAGCCCGGTCAGCGAACTGCCCACCCGATCCCGTCAGTCGCCACGACAGTCATGGGTTGCTGAAGACCAATTCCAACCCAGAGTCCAACATGTTTGTAACCTTTGAGATGGATATAGGTTAATGAATATAAATCAGTATTAAAGTATATGAAGTATATAAAGTGATTAAAGGTAAGTGTGTATAATGGTTTCGAAGTGAGTTTGATTAAAGGTAAGTGTGTATAATGGTTTTGAAGTGAGTTTGATTAAAGGTAAGTGTGTACATGTATAATGCTTTCGAAGTGAGTTTGATTAAAGGGAAGTGTGTATAATGGTTTTGAAGTGAGTGTTTGATTAAAGGTAAGTGTGTATAATGGTTTCGAAGTGAGTTTGATTAAAGGTAAGTAAGTATAATGGTTTCGAAGTGAGTTTGATTAAAGGGAAGTGTGTATAATGGTTTTGAAGTGAGTGTTTGATTAAAGGTAAGTAAGTATAATGGTTTCGACGTGAGTGTATCGTTAAAGGTAAGTAAGTATAATGGTTTCGAAGTGAGTGTTTCATTAAAGGTAAGTAAGTATAATGGTTTCGAAGTGAGTGTTTCATTAAAGGTAAGTCCTAATGCTTATATTCACGATAGGCAATCAACACACTGGGTGTCGTCAATGACAGCTTGTCTCTGTATAAGCTGTACCTCACAGTGGGAACCGTAAACAGAAGCGACAAAACAAGTTCCACATTCACAAGAAATCTCTGCCAAAAGCAGAGTCGATTGTGCAATTGTGACAATATCATGTTCAGATATTTGTTTCAGCAGTATATACAGCTGTGACAGTGATTGTCACCATGCGATACGATGACAGAGCATGTGTTTATGAATCACCATGAACTAGTGCTGATACCAGGTTTTTGCGAAAAGGTGAGCGCATCCTGCCCTGCCCTACACAATTGCCAATCATATCACTTTATGTGCACAAATGTAGGCCATCAGCCCATGGTACAATATTGGTTCATATAAAATAGATAAATACACCAGGCCATCAGCCCATGGTACAATATTGGTTCATATAAAATAGATAAATACACCACACTGTATTATACAAGGATGCATCATAAAACCATACTTGAAGCAATCAGAGATGTATAGATGTATACTCATGCCAATAATGGTTGTCACCCCCTTCAATTTTTTTAATTGGAGAGGGTGTGTGGGTGGGGTTTGGGTGGGGAGGGGGGTGACGACCATTATTGGCATGAGTATATATCGACAGCACAGCTCCAGCCTTTGGTATTTACATTTCACAGCTTTTGGGATACAATCGAGCGTGCTCTTCTTACCAAGATTTCAAAGAGCGTCCTACCACTCTTGCTCAGAAGTTGTTTGATCAAGGTTACAACATTCGCGGCCTCAGTAAAGCTTTCAAGAAGTTTTATTGTAGACATGTGGGGGACATTTCGAAATTTGATGCATCAGTGACAAAAATGATGTCCTGTGCAATTCCCTATTTTGACTTTTACCATACATTCCCGAATTATTTCAGGTGAACGATTGACTAGACTTTGCATAATTTTATGACGGGTGCCAACGGTGGGGCAGGATACGCTCAACCGTTCGAGAACACCTGGTGTCATCACTACTTCATGATGATTCACAAACACATGCTCTGTCATCGTAACGCATGGTGACAATCACTGGATTGTCTGGTCCAGACTCGATTTGTCTACAAACATCGTTCAGCTGTAATACTGCTGAAAACATACACTCTTTTTAAAAAAAGAGAAAGAAACGCATAAGCCACTTTAGAAGAATTTATTGCGTTAGTTTAAAAGCAATTATTTCATGTAATTTCAATGGTAAGAAGGTGAAAACACTCACACGTCTATAGACAAAGAGTTCGCCAGCACAACTGCAGCCTTTACTGGTGTGTTTCTGTGTACTTGAGTCCACAAGATGGCGTCAAGGTCTGCACTCTGTATGGCCACCATTGGCAGCAATTTCTGCTCGGCACCGTGTCTTCCCCACTCTTCCTGCAACGCGATGGCCAGTTGTGGAAGTGTCTGAGGCGTGTTTTGACGTTGGCGTACACGTCGATCAAGTTCATCCCATAGGTGTTCTGTCGGGTTTAGATCTGGTGATTATTGGCAAGGTAGCGAACAGTGACGCGTGCTGTACGTGAAGTAGCGTTGTCATGTCGGTCCCTAATTGGATGCATGTGACGTACAAGGACTTCGTTAATGTACCGATTAAAAGTATGCACACATTTCAAGCCGATAGACCCGTGAAGGTCCGGGTTAGAATTGGCCTTCAGTAACCCATGCTTGTAACCCGAGAGGCGACTAACGGGATCGGGTGGTCAGGCTTGCTGACTTGGTTGACACGTCCTCGGTTCCCAATTGCGCAGATCGATGCTCATGCTGTTGATCACTGTATTATCTGGTCCAGACTCGATTATTTACATACCGCTGCCATATAGCTGGAATATTGCTGAGTGCGGCGTAACACTACACTCACTCACTCACTAAGCATGGTGCATGTTCGTCAGTGGATTCTTTCCGAATATAATTATTGGGTCCGGAAACACTAATGCCCAATATCTGTTTACCAAATGGATGGCATTTACAGTTAGCGTTTTACTGTAGCATGCATATGTTATATTTTCCACGCGTCTCTATTTCGCTTACGTCATCAACAATCACATTTGACTAATGCCGTAAACAAGACATATGCAATGACAATGTTAAAAGTGCAATCTATCCACCTGTGGTAAACATTCAGGCGTTTTCACCATCCCCTCTGAGACCTCGGTGCTGAATATGTGAAAAACCTATGTGCGTTTCGTAAACTGGATGTTTTCAGCTACCTCAAACTTGACATTCAAGAGGATAAAGGGCATTGTGGCTTGGGGGATTATAGTCTGTATGTGAACTGATCTTACACAATTTACATTTTAATTAAAACCCCATATAGCAGCCTTGGCCTACCTCTCAACCTTTTGTTATTTATCACGTTTACGTAAACTGTAACTCGTAAACATTTGAAACATACAATTTGGATAGTGTGTCTCTTTGCTTCTTGCTCATGAGGCTGAACTGTAATGAATAGCATCGCCACAACAGTCCCCGCAGAGACCATATAATATATGATAATATATGGTCTCTGGTACCAGTTAGAAGTGCGGTCCTATTATCTCTATTGTTCTGCAGTTAACAAAACCGACAAAACCACAAACAGTGCATGATGAATGACACAGATGCTCGGTGAAAGTCGCGGTGAGTGGTACAGGCGTGAAACAGTCCAAGGCCAAATGCAAGAAGTGCCCGAGGAAACGTTCCTCGGGGAAAAAAATCTGGTCTGTGTGGGGCAACAACAACTACAACCACACACACACCCCTAAGACACACACACCCCTAACACACACACACACACCTAACACACACACACCCCTAACACACACACACACACACACACACACCCACCTAACACACACACACACACACACACCCCTAATACACACACTCTCTCTCTGTGGATCCACCCCCGAGCTGCTGCTGAGAGCGATGACGCATCTAGCAGTTGCCGCTTTTTACAAAACTATACTGAAGAAAACAATTAAGGAAACGAAAGGTCAGTTTAAACCGAAACAAGTCTCATTGACCAATTCTGACAATATCCTACTTTTCAGTCGATCCGAATTTTCTC